CCCTTTTGTTTTCATATTTTTGTTGTATTTTAAATGCACTTTCTGAGCTTTCTTACAAGCGCCGCCAATTATTGTTGCTGGTTTTGTTATATTCCTATGGCTACTACTGCCTTTCCTTGTCCCATCTATGCCCATGGTTGATGATACTCTAAGGATCTAACCCTATGCCTATCCAAGCGAAATCTATTTGGTAAGCAAAGCTTCAAAAAGTGTGTCACGAGCTTAAAAATATCGTATCGAAAAAAGTGCGAAAGCTTTGGGGGGAAATTATATTACAAATGAATTGAAATGTTTCGGTATCAATACGAAATTATCATAGTTACTTGATAGGTTTAGTTTACTATGTATTTAGATTTAACTGCATGTATTACCCTGTATCCAATATGTCATTCTTGTGTTCCTATTAAAACCAAAGCAAAAATGCGTTATAAATATTAAAGGCAAAATGTTTTAGGCTTGGCAAAAAGATATGCACCCCTATCCTTCCCTTTCTATCGATCAATCTTACACTAGATCCTTCGTCCCGTCGCCTTTTTGGGCCCTTGTAACTGTGTCTGTGTGTTAGTTGGAGTGTTGATTGGGTGTCCTTGTAGGTGTAATTAGAAAACTAGTGTATGCAATTTTGGTAAGTCCTTGGTTATGGTGGGGTTAAGTGCTTGTCTCTATCGTTATTTATCTTTATCGTTAGCTTTAGTTTAGTTTTACCTTTACTTTTACTTTCTTTTAAATACCTGCAGAAAAGTGTATCTAAATATATTTTTGATTAGTAAGTTCTAAACTTGGACTCCAGTGTTTTTTGGTTGTTCTTCTTGTTTGTTCATGTTCTTTTGTTTCCGTGTCAGTGTTGTAAGCTTCATTCACTACTTTGTCTAACCTTGTCATTAACTAGTATATAATATATTTGTGTATAGTATATATAATAAATAAAGAAGTTAGTTTTTATTAGTAATGCTTTGTATAGAGTAATAAACATTCTATAAGAATGCCACATTCCGCACTTTGTATAATAAAAATACACTATGCGTAGGACAAAATCTATTCGCATATAGATTAAGTTTAAGGAACGATCATCGATAAGAGACTTCATTTTCATTAGTAATGTACAATGCTTATTCTTAGATTAGCGCTATGCTTAGCCGGCTACAAACGGAAAATAGAAATATAAATCAAACCGAACAAATCAGGAGGAAACGCAATGCCAATGGGGTCCCTTCGATTTCATATCTCTTCGCCGTTAGCTAAACAACTTGAGAATCGCCGAGAAAGGTGCCAAGTTATAGACTACGGTTCGCATATACGCGCATTTGATATGATGGGTGTGTACATGTATGTGGTGGTGAGTTCGTTGTGTGTGTGCGTATAATTGAGAGACAGTGAAAACGCGGAATATGACGACGCTAAATGCAGATTGTAGCTCTAAAGGATTTCTCTGGCACTAAACTGGATTTTGGCAAAACTTGCAAAGAAATGTGCCAATTTTCATATCCCCTCAAGCAGATGGGCGAAACCTGTCCATTTTCAGTTAATGTGGTTGTTATCTATGGTTTATTTCTAGGAATACTATAATTTTTACGAGTTCCAATTTTTACACTTTATGCTCAAGGTACAATTGTCTTTTTCTATTCGTTAATGTTTAATATGAATTCGACATGTTTTTTTGTTAGTTATTTATGTTTTTTTTTTTGCTTTCATCACATTTCATTTCGAATTTGAATTAAGCGACTTAATTGTTCGTTTATATTGTATTTTTATTCGTTTATCGAGTTAATTTTGATTTGGCTTTAGTGGTTTCTTGTTATCACCGCTCTTTAAAATTAACATTAAAATCAAACTAAGCGCAAACAAAAAATAAATTTGATTTTGTTCACACTTTTTGTTAAACGTTCGTGTCACAGCCCTTTTCGTGTTTTGGTTTTTTGTTTTTAGTTTTTATCAAACGATACTTAAGGGAGAACATGGGAAAACGATATTTAAATCGGGTTGGGGATTATGCCAAATTCTCAGTCCTCTGTTGCAAGTTGGGATTGTGTGTGTTTCGGGGGTATGTGACCTAGTCTGTCCTGGTATCTGCCAATTGAAATGATTCAAAAGCCGGATGTCACAGACGCGGAAAATAATGAGAAAATAAAACAAGTTGGTTGCATTGTATTTTGGTTTTTCAATTTGTTTTCTCTTTTATTTGTTTTGCTTCTCTTGGTTTAGTTTAGTTTTATTGTGTGTTATGCTTTAGAAATAATAGTTACGATAATTTAGGGTTTTAGTATCCTTCCTCTTGGTATATAATTTGCATAATTTTGCCAAAATCAGTTTAGCACAAAATGAATTATTTTGCTTGATTCCGTATGTTTTATAGTATAGTGTATATGATCTAAAAATGTTTGTATAATAGCATATAATAATAATAATAATAATTGTAATAATAATTTTTTATATATTAATTTAAATACTTGTGTTCGTATTTTCAATACATAAATAAATTATAATTCGTTAATCATAATCATAGTACATAATAATAGTAAATTATTATTATCTCAATAGTTTGACTTGGTTTTTATACTTCTTATTCATCATTAAGGTTTAATTTTCATTATGCAATAATTAACTTGAATTTGACTAGATCGATTCATACAAGATCGTAAATACATGTAGTGTGTTCGTGTATCTGGATGAGTTTTTCCGAAGTAAAATTCTAGTTTAGCATTTTAATTCAAAGCTGTCAAAATTCTTGGGTGTCTCTGGCTGAACTACTTTTGAATAGGCGCTAAAATCAGTTTGATAATTTTCATATATATGTTATGTACTTGTATGTTTGTAGGTATGTATATAATTATGCTTGTATGCATGTGTCGTTAAATAACTGCCATTTTCATTCGTTTCTTCTCAGTGTGGGACTTTCATCCGCCTTAGTTTTCATTTTCTATATTTACAATATTTCTCCTGTCGAGGCCTAACATTTTGTGATTAAAAGAAAAGGAAAAAACTAAACAGATTAATTCGATTTGACCTTGAATATAATATTTTCCACAGATTTTTAATACTGTCTCAGTGATCCGACTGGCAATACTCACAACGTAAATGTAAACTGGAACTGAAGTTGAAATTGATATTGGTTGAGAGGGAACCCATAAGTATCTGCACCAAAGTATTTATTGCACTGGTAACAAAATTAACTTTAACTCTGATAACAATTTTATTTTCATATTTAAATATTTCTTATATTTTTTATATTTGTATTTGTTAATATTTAAATTTTATATCTTTAGTATCAAATACGTCCCGCAGGTGGAGATTCCCCTGCAGGACCCACAGACTAGGCGACTCTAAACTTATCATTTTCACTATACAAACTCTAAATAATTGTTAATTTTTCTCCACCCTCCTCTTTTTTATCTTTTCACTATCCATAATCTTATTTTTTGGCATATTTAGCTGTAGATTTGACTCTTCGGTCCTTCTCCTCTTCTTGCTTTTGTACAGATTTTGCTGCTAAATTGTTAATGATTCGATTCAACAGACAGTTGAGTAAATGTCGGATAAAGATCTCATTTTTACGTTTCTTTATTGACAATAATATTTAGTTAGATTTCAGTGTAGGTGTGCGGGGGTATTGTGTCGTCCTATGTCAGGGTGTAAAACGAAACAAAAGGCTAGAATAAATTTAATAGGCCGTGATAAATTCTCTAGTTTTGCTAAAAAATACTTGCTTCTTTTTTGACTGTGATAAAAATTCTAATGGTAAGTTTTTGTTTATAATAACAATCAATAATAATTAATATATGCTTAGTGTTAAATAGTTTGCTTAGTCTGGCTAGGGCGCGCTACGGTCAACTTGATCGGAATCTGATTCTTTAGCTGTATCGGTATCTTTCTCGGAGCTGGTTGTGAAAATAAGTGGCCAAAACTTTCAGTTTTCTGCTGTTCTGTATATCTATTTTGTATATATTTTTTATAGTAATACTTCCATAGCAAAATGTTTTTTATGTTTTCCATTTTTTCAGTAGCCCTATTTATATTTTCTTTCCTTTTCCTTGTGTTTTTATTTACTTTTTGCTTTTTTCTTGATTTTATTATATATTTCTATGTATATATATATATATATATGCATGTATATCTGTAAGTACCTGTAATTGTTTTTGTTGAAAGCAGCTAAGTTTAAGTGTAAAGTTGTTGTTTGATTTTATTCAAAATTTTGTTTATTATTCTATAAAATCGTTTACGATTTCTTGAATATAATGATAAACCAAACGGTATCGAATCAAACAATTTGAGAAGTTAAAACAATTACAAGAATTTTCTCCCTCCGAGAATATGGGCCAACATAAATTATCGCTTTAGATATTGTATTTTGTTAATCTTTTTAATGTTTTTTGTTTAGCTTTCGTCACTTTGATTCTCTTCAATAGTTCTAACAAATCCATATTATAATATTTCTAAAATTAGTACTCATTTATGTATTATAAAAAATGATATTTTTGCTCGTGGTCAGGCTGGTCGAACCCTTTGGGGTTGGACGTAGCCCTCAAAGCATGTCGCATATATTAAGTGGCTTGCTCTGTCCCGCCTAGTTCTAACTTCCTATATCCGTTTTGTTTTACTTAAAATTAATTAAATTCGAATTTTTGTGTTAATTTTTCATGTGTACATATAATCTGTTTATGCATCTGTTGAATCTTTGCCGTTTTGCTTACCACTAAATGCTAAAAAGTTGCAGACCTACTTTGTCTTCTTTCTCACCTAACTTCCTCTACGTCCCATCTATATTTTAACCCTTTCCTTTAACTGCTGCCTTCTAATTACTCGATTAACTGTAAACTCCGATCGAGTTCATCATTAGATTAACAAATTCAGTTTTAATAGTTGTTCTTTTGTGTTTGCTTTGTTTTTCAACTAATTTTCCTTGCGCAGATTTGTTAATTTTTATAAATTCCCATCACCAATTACTCATATAAAATGGTTGCTGCTCTTATCGTCCTTAATTGTTTTTATTCTTTTTTGTTTTGTTTTTTTTTTATTTGAAAACCCAGATAATTTTGGTCTCTTGCCAGTCAGTTTTTGTCTCAAGTTTTGTGTTCTGTGTGGGGAGTGTACTGGTGTGCAATGTTCTTGTTCTTTAGTTGTTAACAAAACTATCAATATCAATGTTTTTGTTCCTTGCTTCTATAAATATATACTTTTATTAAATCGATATTTTGGCAAAAATTCTGTCATTCTTTTGGTTTTTCTCAATTTTATAATTTTGTTTGTGGTTGGTTTTCTCTTATTATTTTGTATGTACTGCTGTACTGCATTCAGTTGAATGTATAATCGGATAAATATATATAAATATATTATATATATAAATCTATTCATTTTTTTCAGCTCTAAGGTGTTTTCTTTTTTTAATTTACATTTTTCTTGTTTACTATTTTTTATTTTTTTTTTTGTTACATACTCTTTGCATGTATTTAGTTTCTATAATCGTTTTCACATAGCATGGCTGACGACCATCTGAAATGGAGGGAAAGCATTGTTATTAGTGAGGAAGTCTTAAGTGGGGATCTATATGAAATGGAAAAGTCAGATATGATATATCGCTCAGTTACTAGAAGAGTGTGACATATCTTCGAAAACGTTATATCGTGATAAGTTTTAAGGTCGTATGTTAAATTGTTATCATAACATATATTATTATTATTATCTTTTAGTAAATGAGCGATATCAATCAAAAACGCGATATTATAATCAAAATTCAAGTAATTTCAATACCGTATCGATGTTTCTTAAAATCCTTTTCGATCTTTAATCTATATTTCTGCTCACCCCATCAATAGTTGCTCCTTATTGTAGCTGCAGTTGTTCTGGTTGCTGTTGTGGTTGCCGTTGATGTTGCACTTAGGCCTTTCGCTTTTGTTGTTGCCACATGAATAGTCTCTCGACCAGTTCCACCTTGGAGCAATTGGTATTGGGTTGTTGTGGATCATTTTGGGACTGAGACTCTGGATCGTTTCTGTTGTTGTTGTTGTTGTCGCTGCAGTTGTCGTTATTATTGTTGTTGCGATAGCAATAGGTACCGCTGCGCCAGCTGGCAAATGTGTAGGGCATATGGGCATTGTGGGTGGAGCTCTCAGTGGGCAAAGTTGGCCTAAAGCTGCTGCTAAGGTTATTATAGTGGGCTGTTGTTGTTGCTGTCGCGGAGGCGGAGCTTAGTCCGCCCGATGTGGGCGTGGCTGCGGAAAATGCTGTAGTTGTTGGCAAAGCTGCTGTTGCTGATGTTGTTGCCCCAGTTGGTTGTAGTTGTAATTGTTGTTGTTGTTGTTGTTGTTGTGAATTGCGTTTAAGGAACTCCGATTGTTAATAGGGTCGACTGGCATCCTTTGGCCGCTTCAATTGAACTTTCAGTCTTTTCATGCCAATCTGGAAGCCATTCATGGCCTGAATGGCCGCTTGAGCGCTGGCGGGATTATCGAATGAAACAAAACCTGTCCGGAAAAGTGTTCGTTATAATTAAAAAATTCAGAAAATTCCCAGTAATATATCTATCACAGTACCGAAACATTTGCTCTGGTTTGTAGCACGATCGATGAAGACCTTGGAGCTGATCACATTGCCAAAGGGCAGGAACATTTGCATTAACTCGGCATCGCCAAACTCTTGGGGCAAATGGTAGATGAAGAGATTGCAGCCCTCGGGTCCGGATATCGAACATCCTGGGAACATCAGAAAATCTTAAAGGGAGACATTTTAAAGAGAAGAAACAAAGTAGAGAACAAATTAAGTTTAATAATGAGGAAAATCATAATTCATAATTTTATGAGTTATGTCTGCTTGCTTGTTCTTGTCTTGTTTGCATTGATTTCGATTTTTGTTTGACTTGGTCTGATTTCTTTTTGGAATTTCTCATTTGTGGTCTGTGTGGCTGTGGCTGATCTTGTTTCTGGACTGAATCAACTAAAACTAAGGGCGCAATATAGGAAACCAAAACCAAAACCATGAGCAAACGAACAGTCTAAATGACATACTGTTTAAGGAGGTTTCTATGCATACATATACTCTAGAGATGCCTAATGAATATACTTAAGTGGTTAGCTTAGCTCTAGCCCAAGTTCCCATATGATGTATTATGGTGTATTATGTGTGGGTATTATTACTATATGGGATCCACACTTAGATGGTGTGTGTGACTGGGTGTATATCATGCAGGTAAGGTCTAGAGGATACACAGAGAAACAACAGACTACGGCGCACAGATATCGAAATGGAACCAAACGAACTTTACACTCAAGTTAGGTTTATAGTTAGCATATAGGTAGTATACACACACCAATACAAATGAATATGGCACAGGCACACACACACACACACACATACACAGAGCTACAACCACACCCACACACTTTGTTTTACGGGAAGAGAATGGATTACTTGTGTCTCTGGCCCTGGCGAAAGGCAAAAAGATGAGCAAAACGAACCGAAAAAGAAACATAAAATTTTATGAGCAAATGTCTTCGAAATACGCCGACGGTCTTTATATGATTTTAAGCAGTTTATATGTAATTTTTACGATCGCATAAAATGCCGTTGAATGCAGCCATTAAAAACGATTTACGCCTTGCTCGCCAGCCCCAAACAAAAGGGTTGAAGGCCCATTCCATTCCGGAAAAGCATCCTTTCTACTTTTTGGCAGTGGGTGTGTTTGGTGGCAACAAAAGGGATAAAATGTTTATCAAAATAAAATAAGGACCAAGGAAACGCAGTATGCAAAGTAATTAATTTTTATGGCCTTTTGTTTTAAATTTAATTTCTCTCCGCACAACAAATAAAATTAATTACTGCTCATTGTCGGCTAGATCGAAGGCGATATCACAGAATTTTTTCTCCGGGTGTAAGTGTAACTGTGTGTGTTTGTGTATAGCATGTTTACGATGACAAAGAATCGAACAAAATTCTGAATCGGGAGAAACATGTACAATGTAAACAGATAAGTATTTGCATTTACCCGAAATCATTTGATATTGGGAAAAAGGTCAAATGCAATATCGCTTAACAAGAACTGAAACAAACGTACGGATGTGTATTGGGGGGAATCGGGAAAGTTTGGGTTTATGGGAATATAGGTGATTAACGAAATTATAATGAAAAGCTTACCTTCACGCTGAGTGGGTGCAACCGCCGCTAGGGGAGGTGGTAAAGCTTGTGGAAACTGTCCATAGACGGCGGGAAAGGCTGCATTATATATAAATAATTTTGTTTTTGGTTTTTACACAAATTCCGAAACATTTATAAAGACAACACAACAGTTAAGAATACGTATAAATATATATATATGTTTGTTTTAGGTATTTAAAATAGTTCTCATATTTTAGTAATCCACAGACAATGAAACAAATTTCTAAGAACCAAACTAAATGTTGTTAACCAGTCATAGTAGATCGACTGGATTTGAGAATGGGGTTAGAACGCTGTTTTCAAAACAGTTCACCGATTTAAACAAATTTCTAAAAATATTTTAGGTCAGAAATAAAATCGAATAAATCAAAAGTCAACGATCGGAAGCTTGTCTTCCTTTGCACAAAGAAAAAATCATATCATGTTTATTTTTTAGAGTTATGTAACACTTTACTAACAATAAATATTTATGGCATGACACAACAATTATTAATTATTCGATAAAAACAGTAATGAATGATTGGGCTGTTTTTGCTGTTGTGGTTGGGGTTCATTGGAACATAATCCGATGCTAATAATAAAAATTATGGTGGTGACGAGATGATGGTACACAATGCCGTGAATGATGCAGATTATGGGGCTAAATGTGTAACTGAACGCGATTCAAATGACATGGCAAAGTTACTCATTTCGGGTGAATGGAGACTCAATGATATTTTGAAAATTAAGCAAATTGCAATCGAATATTGTCTGGCGGTTCTGTTTTTGCCGCCAAGCGTGTCTGGGATCTAATACTTAGGATTAAAGCTTATTCTTATCCGGCTAGAAAACACTTACCAACTCCTGGAAACGGTGGCAGACCAGGGAAGGCATGTTGCAGGGCAGCAGCATCGCCGTTTGGCAAACCTTGTGGCGGTATAGTCAAGTGCAGTGGATCTGCAAGGAGGAGTTCAGTGGCTATAGAAAATATATATTTATTTTATTAAATGAAATTAAAAAGTTATTCATAGAAGTATAAGTATACCCCCTTTTTTTGTATTTGCATTTTTTTTAATTTTAAGTAGGTTCTACGCTGACTTTTTCTTTAAATAAGAATAGTGTTATAGCTTAAATCTGAAAGAGTTTCAGTGCCTTTGATAATGTTTTTAATGTAAATTTTAAAAATAAACATATCCTCTGACTAGGGTTTTTTTAGTTATTTTAATATATACATACATATTTTTTATTTTTTTTATTTCGCATGGTCTTAGTTATTAAACTTAAATTTCTTAATTTTCTTTGTTACGTTAAAAAAAAATGATAAGAAACTTTTCTGTTTTTGAAAAATAAATAAACCATGTAAGCCTTATATTATTAACTGTGTAAGCTGCTTAACTAAATATTTTTTTAAAAATAGACTTTGAATTAAGAAATAAAAATGTAAAATCTAATTTTAAATGATACAATGTTGATTAATTACCTATGCTTCTTGTGTAGATAAAAAAACTTTGGTTCTGATCAGGATCTTCTAAATTGTTAATAAAAATAGATTTTAGAATGTTAAATTGTTTTTGGGTGGTTTTACTTGGGTTAAACTAAGTACTTTCTTGAACTCGTATTGTTACTTTATAAAAAATACTAATGGACTAAAATAAAATCTTAAGTAGTTCATTTTTCAAATTTGACAAACTAATATATCTTCAATAGATATTCAAAATTCGATTATTTATTCCAAAGTTTGTGAAAGCTAATGCAAAACAGATAACATTTTTAAATAACATGCAAAACTATGATCTTTAAAGGGTCTTTTAAATGGTTTTAAAATTTAGATTTTTAATATTTAACGTTTTTTTTATATTTTGGATGGTATATAATTAAACAAAATGACAGGAATATTTTTTTAATATTTTTTAATTAGTTCAAAATATACTCACGTCCTGGGAATGCGGTTTGTGGAATGCCGTTCGTGAAGACGCCGTCCGCAGCGGCCGCCGCAGCGGCAGCGGCAGCCGCTCCGCCGGGCTGGCCGTTGGGCGTGTTGGCGCCCATGTTGAAGTTGGGCATGGTCGGCGAGGGCAGCGAGGGGGGCTGGCCGGTGCCGTTGAGGCCGTGAGGTATCTGCGTTGCCAGGGCCGCCATGGGGTTCATGTAGGCAGCGGATCCGGGCGCCGTGGCAGCGGCTGCCATCAGGGCGGCCTGCTGCTGCTGCTGCAATTCCGGTGGAGAGGGGAGCTGCTTTATATGTAGTATACATTTAAAGGGGGGTCGGGGGGTGGCGGTCTTACCTGAGCGTAGGCGCCGTACGGACTGAACTGATTAAAGACGAACGGATTGAGGAGGTTCATGTGACCGGCCATTTGCTGCATGCGCCGTATTTGTCGCTCCTTCTCCGTGTCGGCGTATTTGACGACCAGGCTGGAGGATGCTCCCTGGAAAAATAAGTGAAGTGAATGGAGTCAAGTTGAGTCAAGAGTTGTATCGAAATTGCATGTTTATAGGCGGCTTTTCCGCTTTTCCGCTCTACTCTTCTTTCCTTTCCTTTCCGCCATCTTTCATCATCTCTGGGGAACAGGAAATCCTATTACAGGCCATTATTTTGCGATGACAGCGTTGGGTACCTGCGTAAAGCACCTGCTTCCTTTGTTCGACTGCTCATTATTATCTTATTATAATTATATACAAAAAATATATATCAAAATAATTGGCATACGCGCACTTCAATTTGCATTTCTATTCAAAGCGGCTTATGGGCTCCCCCAACCAGCTTTTCCATCTATTGTCGTCTGTCATTGATTTTGATATATAAATAAGTTTAACAAAGAGCTGCTCCTCTAGGCCTGGGCTCTTCCATTTTCTTTGCTTTTGATGTCAATTAATTAGCATAATAATGGCAGGCTTCACATTACGTACGAACCCCCCCAACCCCAACCCTCCTTTCCTTTCGAGAGGTTTCGACTTACGTATGACAATTTCGAATTGAATAGACATTTTCAATATTCGGTAACATTCTGTTTCGTATTAATTAGAAACGTTTTTGTAATGCGAAACCTTTTTCCCGTCGACAACGACGACGATGATGATGAAGATGGTGATGGATGGAGTGGGTGGGCAGGGTTTAGGGAAGCAGAAAAGCTTTTATGATTTTGTGCAAATCATTAATCAAAGCAACAATGATATTGTGTTGCACAACTCATCCCTTGGCTAAATATATGTATAAATGTGTGTGTGGGAGGGCTGTTAATGAGTCTACAACCGAGCAGGTGCTTCAACTATAACGGCTATCTGCTCTGCCTTGAACATAATTTTAATTAATGAAATATGAAACTCGAGATTATGCAAAAGGTCGTTCGGAGGGAGTCCTTGTCAAGGCGAAACTATTCCTGTTTACCCTGTTATATGGCCTGGCGATGCTACGCAGATCCTGTAATGAGTTTTAATGAGCTGCTCTGAACATGAGATCCGGTCTGGCCAGAAAATTAATTTCAATCTCAAGCTATTTGTAGTCGTAGCTTATGGGCAGATTAAACACCCAAAACTATTCCATCAAAATTTAGTATGAGGTGCAATTGGTATTTCATCCTCAATTGCCTGCCATCGGAGGCGATAAACCTTCATTAACCGAAGGCTAATCTGTGGTCCTAATTGTCTTTCTCTGGCCTTGCAGAGAGAGAGGACTATGCAACAGGCCAGAAGACTGCCGCAGAAGCTCATAAATTAATTCATTAACGTCAATTTAATTGTCTAATAATCCCCGGCTCATGTCAGCCTGCTGGCTGATGGCCAAAAAAAAGAACCACAAAATTTGTGTGGCTCACTGGGGGAATTATGGGGTCGAGATTCAGTCATTCACTCAATTTGAACGTTTATTATGTGCTCTATATGTGCAGTTGTTTGGCCTGTTCACTTCCGTTTCCGCTTGACGAAGACGACAACGTCTGCGACTGCTACTGCGACTGCGACGACACGAAATTCCCATTCAAGTGGATTGCTGCCGCCAAATGAAATGAAAAATTCAACACGGCACACAGAGACACATCCTTGAAAGGACTCGAGTTGGCAGCACGCCTAACCAGAACGAATGGCAGTCGTGCCCCAGTGGCAAGTGGCAAGTGCAACAGGCAGAAGGCAGCAGGCAGCAGGCTGCCAACTAACAAGCCAACTAACCAGAGGAGGTCCTTCGCTCTTGGTCCTTGGGCCTTGGTCCTGGACTCGTGCCAGGCGGCACTTTTGGCAGCAATCGCATGTTGCATGCCACTTTTCGGGGCGGCACAAACGTGACGCCATTAGACGATGGGCCCACAGTCCTTAGCCTTTCCTCGGCCCAATATTTTTTTATTGTTTTTTAATGCGGCTCACTCAAAGTTTTCTGCTTCTCTCTTCGATTCGGTAGGGTTTTTCTATATTTTTTATTTGGCAAAGTTTCGAAACCGCACGGCGGCCAATTACAATTGAGGGGCTTACAGTGCATTTAAAAAGTAATTTGTCTGCCGCCCCAAAAGCCGCGCACGTATTTATATATTTCAATGCGAAATGCAAATGCGAATGGAAATTGCGCCAAGAATACTGCAATCCCAGGGTGAACCTGTCGGTTTTTGGGTGTCAGAAAAGGGGAGGGGGTTTCAGAGGTCGACCCGGGGTAATCACAGTAACCCGTGTTCACTAATGGTTCTACAAGCCACAGGGGCAGCCGGTAAGCCCAGGGACGGGAGACAGGAGACAGGGGCGATGAAATGCAGCCAGGACACACATATATTTCCCCCCCACCCTACATAATAAACTCGCGCCGGGAAGTATGCAACGTTTACCGAATTCAATGGGTGGGTATGGTATGGTATGGGATCGTATGGTATGGGGTGGTGTGGTATGGGATGGTAGTACGTGTCTGGGGACATGTTAACATGGCAGTCGTGCCAAAAATTATTATTCCCGCCTCGCCACGAATGCCTTTGGCTGCCTGGCTTTGCATCTGTGCTTTTTCTGGCGCTCCTGCTGCTTTTTGCTTGTTGCATACTTTTAGGCGCGAGTGTGAGCGCCGATTTGTCAACGCCTAAAAGGACAACATATTTCTTGTCCACAGCGTATAAAAAATTTTATAAAAAAAACTCTGCCTGCGAAAGCAAATGGCCGGCAAATGGTTTTTAACAAATGAATTATATATATTTTTATATGCAACTGATTTGCATTTTATAGTTTCTTTTCGTTTTGGCCGCAGCTTGTTTTAATTGCTAAATGAATTGGCCTGGTCCAGCAGGCCGGTCCCGGCATTTGTTTAATGGTGAGCCATTTTTATCTATCAATTAAAGCAGCGACAGGAAAATGTATTCAAAATGCAAGCACATAAATTTTCCACCTAATGGTAATGGACATTTCTTCTCTTTTTTACTGGACCATCTGTTGATGGTGTGGCGCACTGACAAAAAAATATAGGAAATCCAAAGATTTCATAACATATTTTGATATACATATATACATATAATATTAAATTGAACAATTATAGTTGATTTAAATATTTTCAAATAAAATTATGCAATTTATGAAGTTAATTGTTAAATACTGCGCGTATGTATTTAATTCAAATATTTAATATGAAATTCGGAGTTCAATAAATATGCATATATTTATTTTACTTTTTAATTTTTTTGTCAGTGTGTTCTGGCCATTTTTTGTAGTACAGCATTTAGCCAGTAAATGGATTTAAGCCTTTTTAATGCGTGAAATTGATTCAGGGGCTGGTGTAAAAGCCAGTCAATAGAGCGGCTAAAGTAGTTTCGGCCAAAATGATAGAGAGGGAGATAAACCAGCTCAACACTCTGGTTGCGGCACGTTCCGCCAGCTAAAACGCCTAATGACGTTTACACGGCCAACATAATTACAGTAATAATGTGGCTGAGACTCGACTCGCAGTGGTGGCATGTGGCACAATGACGATGACATTAGCGAGGTGTCAGGCGACAATTTAACGAGCAGGCTCGCTGCACACACGTATGCGCGGAAAGGAATCCCCTGTCCGAGCCCGATCCCGGTCCCGGATCCCGAATCGGAGGCCCTGTCTCGCGGAGCCATGTGGCATGTGCCGCATGCAACACCATCCTGCAACAAAGCACATTCGTCACGAAACGAGGAAGCGGCAACATCAACATCACCAGCCAAGTTGAGCTCGTGCGTGTGTGTCGAGCGACCATTTTGTATGCTTTTAAATTAGCCAAAGTGTGAAAGTGTCATGTTTCGAAATATGAAATTAAGCAGGAACAGGAAAAGGAAGAGGTGCTCAACGACGAAGGACGAAGGACCTCCATGTTTATGGCTCTTGCATGCTGTTGATATGCCGTAATTTGTTGGGTGAAAATTAAAAGGAAGTGCACTTCAATTATCGTCTGTTGTTCCACCGGGAAATTCTTTAAAGAGTTTCCAGGTCTTCAATAAATTAACCCATAAACGGTAGCAGGATAGACCCTTCATTTGCATGGCAAACTCGTCACAATGAGCGCGAGAGTTCTCAACGAGTTTTCCAATTAATTTTCACTTAAAAGACAAACCTGTACCGTAGCCGAAAAACTCTCAATAGAACCAAAGTACAACCGGGTAAAAGTGGCAGTAAAACTAATTACAAATTCGTTTCCAGCTTTCCATTCCGTTCGCTGTCTAAAGCAGAGAGTCATGTCAAAATGGTGGCTCAAAAACGCCGCCATCGCCGCCGCCGCCGCCTGGAAAACCGCATCACCGAGTAAGTAATCTTTTCCGGCAAATAAATCACACCATTGCCAGTGGGAGTCGCAGTTTGAAATTAGTGTAAATGCCACTAAGCTACCTAAAAGTATGCTCGGCATTAACGGTGCCGGCAAAAAAAATCCGGAAATTTACGTACTATGCGAAAAGTTACTACTTACCCCCCCCGGAAAAAGTTGCAATGCGCTGTTAACCGCAACTCTGAACTGGACAACGGGGCGGATGGGGAATGTTGGCTGGCTGGGCAGGGCAATGCATACATTAAACAACTTTTGGCTCATTGCATTCTGGCCGGGATCGGCAGTCCCATCCCATCCACTTCTCTCCACCAAAAAGGCGACCCGACAAAGGGCCGCCGGCGAAGCGTAAAATGCGGGCAAGCAAAAAGCAGGACGAAGGACGAAGGACTCTGGCCTCAGACGACGGCGTTGACAATGCAACTTGGTCGCGGCCAAAATGAAAAACTTATTTAATTTACTTTGCTTTTTGCCACAGCGCCGGCCATTTAATTCAATTACTCGCCGAGAGTTCTTTTTTGAGAGTGGAGGGTCCTTTTCCTACAGGGCCTAATAAGGCAATCAACGGTTTTGAAATTTGTCAAAGACTTGGTCGGCAGATCGCCAGTCAAGAACCCTTTGAAACAAAGCGCAATCTCTAATGGTTTTACTAAAAAGGATAACCGATCCATAGGTCCAAAAAGAGC